CATGTTTGGAGTTAAGGACGGCGGATGGCAGGTTGTTGGTGAGGGGTTTCAAGGCAGGTTGTTGGCGAGAAAGCGGGCTAAGTGTTGGGAAGGTGAGTTGATGGCGCTCACAGTAGGGCGAAGCGGTACGTCGAGTTTATGAATTTTAGGAAGATCATAGATGCAAGGTGTGCGGTTGTTGTTGGCCAGCTTAAGACGTCTTTTGTCTTCCGCGTTGATGGGCGACGCTTCACCTATGATGGCCATCACTTTCTGTCTCACTTTAGGCAGGGGATTCTTTTCCAGTTTTTGGTAGTATCACCGTCACTGAGGATGATGACCATCTTGTGGTAATCGGAGCTCTCCATAAGCACCGTAGCGTTGCCTTTATCAGCGGGAAGAATGACGATGTCATCGCTCCGTTTTAGCTCCCTTACGGCTAGCCTTTCTTTACAGGGGATGTTGCCTCTCAGGCGGGTCTCTTGTGACAATTTCTCCCTTTTTTGTATTAACCCATTTTAGAATTTCTCCCTCTCTCTATTGCCACCTTTCCCGTGATCCCAACTTGCTTCTCTCCCCAATTACGGCTCCGTTCTTTAGCCACCAATCCCGCACCACATGTCCACTTCTGGCTACTTGACCAATCCCGCCCTTCCCTTCTCCTTCATATAAAGCCAGCGCGCTAGCCATCTGGCAGCAGTACGCTCTGAAGGCCACAATACGTTGGCCGAAACGTTAGCCACCATGACATTGACGCGGCTCGTCCCGGGTAGCCTAGACAACATAAATTCCGGCCGCAGAAACCTACGCAACCACAACTGTAAACCGTTAAAGTATTTTAAAAAAATACAAATGTGGCGCTAGTGTCCTGTATATTGGTACGCATGTTTGCGATTGTATGCCAATATCTCTTATGCGGCATCATTGCGAAGAAACAGGAACTCCGGCGTAGGAACAGTGTAAACATGGCTGCCCCACTAGCAACGTGCACCAGAGAGGAACAGCGTCAGCGTTCTGTGATTCAATTTTTGCAAAGTGAACAACATATTGTCTTTCTTCGACGAATAAAAGTTCAGTTTGGTGGCGCCTGCTTTCCACAGCAGTAGGTTTATGAATGGAGTCGGAAGTTCGCAAATGGTGTGTTACCGAAAAAGTAGTTGTTTTTTTGTTTTCAAAACGTCTGTCCGGCCGTTTGATCGTCCGTCCGTCTGCCTATACGTCCGATAGCTCAAAATGCCGCATTTTCAGAAATACAAATGCAATTTTCTCAAAAATTGCCCAAATTTTTTCTTCAAACTTTTCGAAGGGACCTTCGAAATTAGAGTGCTAACTGCACTCTAATATGACGTAAAGTTCATATCAGGGCCTTTTTATGTTTTTTCAAAAGTTACACTTGGTTACAAAAAAATCTTCAAAAGATCTCTCACGCTGTTATGATGCACTTTTCCAGCAATTTGAAAACACTATTGTATTAGTTAAGTAATGTGCTTAAAATAACTTTGAAGTTTTTCAAAACCCAACAAATTTTTGTGGAAAAGAGCTTCAAATTTAGAATTTATAGTAGGGCTTAAATGCCAGTTTTCTTAAAACAGATCCAAATTTTTCAAAAAAACTTGCTATAACAGACAAGGTTTTACTATTCCGTAATATTGTAATAATATTTCCATTCCACTATTAAGACACCGAAAAATTGAGAAATATTTTTTAAAAAATATACTTTGGGCGGCAATCAAGGCAGCTGGCAAGAGTATGCAGCAAGTCTGAGTACCTAGAAGTACTGAGTATGCTACAGAATAGCCATATCTGTATTGAAATGGTTCATTCTAAATTCTCACACAATTACTTGCAAATTTTTACTAATTGAATTATTACTAAATGAAAAATGGAATATACTTAAATTGCAAATTGGAATATACTTAACACAAAACTTGTTCCAACTGGTTTACAAACTGTATGTTGTACCGTTCTTTTTTCTGCTTGACAGTTGGGTCTCAGTAAAGGCAGTGTTGCTACACTTTATTGCCCGTATCACATATGTGCTGAATGAACTTTCTACGTTATCTTAAGCGAATTTACATTTCATTGTGATACCTAGACTACCTGGATACTTTTAATGAAGCGAATTTTAATTATGAGCCATAAAAGAGAGCAAGAAGTGCCTTGTTGATGTGATGCTCCATCCCCTTCACTTATTCATTCTGAGTTGGTAATAAGGGAAGCTGCTACTATTGCAAGTCACTAGAAAATCACTGTCTGTGTCATCACGCCTCTTAATCATCAAGATCACAGAAATGTTGGTACAACGTGTAATTTCATACCATAATTTCTGCAAACATATATATCTTATAATCAACAATAAACATGCACACACAGAAATAACACTAAATTTGTGCACTAATGACTTAATTCGATGGTTCTTAAAGGGTGAGCCACAAGATTACAAAAGCTTGCAATGAAAATAATATAATTTAAAAAATAAAGTACACATTTTACTTTGACCCTAATTTCAAACATTTGATTTCCAAAGTGACATATCTCCAAGAAATACAATTTTTCAGAATGGGAAAGTAGTTAAAGGTAGGATTGAACAGTTTTCTAATATGATTCAACACAGAAACAACACCATTTTTACACAATATTTAGCAGCAATCATAAGAATATTTTGATACACAAAACTAGAATAAAAAATTAAAAAATAGAGAAACATCACAATGGAAACAAGATCTTCAATTGTCTTACAAGCTGTTTCATTAAAAACATTATTTGAATACTAATTATATTTTTGTAATTTAAAGGGAAATGTGGACTTCTTAACTTTTTCAGAATAGTTCAATAGGTGGAGGAATTGCAGACGCACACGTCTGTAAATTCATGAATAAAAGAAACCGTAATTTTTATATTTTCAATGTGAGCAAATGCTCATAAAATATCATTCACATAGGTCCATTGAAGAAACTGAGCTGAAGTAATATAGACAGTGACTTTGAAGCATTTGAAGTGGTAATACTTATTATTAGAGCCTGGAAGTTTGGTAAAAAGTATTTTTGTCATTGTTACTAATTCATGACTTTTTGACGATAGGAATCACTTGATTGTGCTTCTGGAGTTGTTTTAGTAGAATTTCATTTTGCCTTTTTGGCCAATTGTAACTTCTGCTGCCTATTTATGCCATTTTATCTTATTTTGTGCCTATTTAATCATTATTTTCCTTCTTTTCTCTACTCTCACAGATCTCAATCAAGTTGTATATACACCTGAAAGCCTGGTCAAAACAAAGACATCATATTTTGTGTTTCTAAGGAAGAAGAAGCATTGTTAAAAACCTAAATAAAAAAGGAAAAGGATACCAGTCAAGATTTTGATTGGCTTTGTAGTATATGGTACAACTTACGAAATTCATTTAAACCGGCACTTGGTGCCTCTCTGGTGGTAAATGCACAGTTTGAATTCTGGAAGCGCTCTTGAAAAGTGCATTCTTATAAAGGTGTATTGGTAATTATGCGGTGGGTACACTCAAGGATGTTTATAGTGAACACAAGGGCCAAAGGTCTGGGCTTCCCAGTGACTTGGATCCAGGTGAGCAATGCGAAAAAACTTGCCTTTGAAAGTAAATTGGCATTACAATGCAGGGACAAAGCGTATGAAGGGCAAGCCATGATAATCGCTTATCCGTAAGTTTTATTCATTTCTATAACAGCGTGTAGGGGTCATTTTAGGGAGGGCTAAAGGAGACCCCTCCCCTACACTTCTCTGAGGGTGTATGGTGTACCATACTTTAACCTTTTGTTTTTTTTTCATACCTGCCGACTGACTTTGTTCACTCATAGGAAATCCCATCCTACTTTAAATATGACCTTAAGTCTGTTCTCTTCAGATGACAGTTCTCAGTGCTGGCGATTACACAAGTGCGAGGAAGGAAAACATCATTCTGCTTTCATTATTGCCATTTCAAGATTCAATAGGGAGGATTCACCACAAAATCAAAATTTTAAAGCAAGAGTGTTGCGAGTAAAACAAATTTGTATCCATCATATGGTTTGGTCATGTGAAATTGAGGTTTCCTTACATGTTAACTGCTAATGTAAATTTTAGTTAGAATAAAAATGTGAAGTCTGACTTTTTATTGTTTAATTGCCTTTTTGCACCCCTACTTTAGCTAGAATAAATGCCTTTTTCATTCTTATTTTAATAAAAATACATGCCTTTTTGTCTACCATTTGTAAGTACAATAAATGCCTGAACTTCTGGGCTGTATTTATTACATACACTTCAAATGTTTGACACAAAGGTCACAAATTGCAAGCTTCGTGATCAATGCTACGAGTGAAACAGGTTCGAGAACCACAGGATTAACTCATAAGAGATTCTTATCAACTCACCTTCTGAATGTGATTGATTTCATCATGTCTCCGCTTCTGATTCCTAGTTATTTTTCTATCGGTCTGGTCAGAAAGTAAATCACCTGTTGGGTTCCTTTCACTTTTCCATTGTTGGTCTGACATATCAAATCGAGAACTCATTATCCTGCAAGACAATGACAGGATAAAATCCTAAAAATCCTTATTTTTAAATGATCAAAAATACCCATCATACATACCTATCTCTCTGAACCCATTCGTCCAACCGTCGGTTATAACCTTCATAATGAACATAATACTCATAATGACCTTCCTGGTCATTATACCTCGTCTGAATAATTTCTGCTGGATCTAAACAACAGAATAAACTTTTTTATGACTTGCACACTAAAACATCAATGCACTACCGGTAAGCAATAACTTACGCCAATCATCTGATCTCCTAACTAAATAATGTTCGCCTATGTCTAAAGGCTGCTCTTCAACTGACTCAGAATCTTCGTTGTCACCGGGTGGCTTGACATCCACATGCGAATTTTCCGTTCTTTTCTCTTGCTTTACCATTGTGGTATCTTGTTTTTCGTTAGTAGCGTCCCTTAATCTATCTTCCCCATCCGCCATTTTACGTTACAGAGCTTACAACTGCGTAAAGCGTACGTTACGAAGAATTTTGGTTGTCTATACGCGTATTAGCTCCATAATATGTGATATTTAACGTTCAGAAAACAATAAAAATAAATATCCATATCTTCAATTTTCCTCAAAACATACAGTAGACAACTGTTCGTGACATCTGGAATGAGCTCTTTCGACTGGATAATATTGGTATACCCGTAAATCAAAAACAAAATGGAATGTCACGACATGTGGAAACAGAAGCGCGAGTTGCGTGTAGCTTGTTGATTTTCTAGGGGCATTTTCGGATCAGTATTTGCTGCTTGAAAATGGCTTCCGACCCGCCGGGTCCATCCCGAAAAGAAAAATTACAGCAATCTGATAGTACTAAATCTTTAGTGGCAAAATTGAAAGAAGAATTCATCAAACCCGTTACCAAAGAAAATATTCTTTATCACTATTTGCCTCTTCATGGTGTGATTTGCTACTCGGCGATGTCTGTAAATGTAATGAATCCATCGTTATTCTCCGAGTAAGTAATTACAACTTAAGTCGACACTAAATATCCTGCAGTATTATAACGTGCTTATCTTTCTTAGGTGCTGTCCCAAAAAAGATATTACAAATTTTCTTTTGTTTGGTTCTGTTGGAGGTGTAGCCCTATATGCATACAAAAGACCACATTTGCAAAATCTTGAATTATTGCCGCGCACAACGTACAGGTACCCACAACTTTTCTCTATTCCTCTGATATTCATTATTTAGAGATTATCCAAAATTGTGTTTCTTCCGCAGTGCTTTTGGAGCTGTTATGTTCACGTTCGGCTCTGTACTAATTTGGGCTGTAATGAGAAGTGTTGTGCCTGAAAATGCATTTGTTGGTTCTGCCATTGGGTTGCTATCAGCAGCAGGTCTTGTAAAATGTGGGTCATCATATTGCAATGCTATTGACCAACAGGTTCCATCTCTAGACAATGAGCAACCAGACTAAATTCTGCCCTCACAAGAAAAAAATATTAGGAAATTGTTTAGTCATTTTTATTCTCATTAAGAGATTTTACCATAATTCTTGAATTTGAAAGACTGCCATAATTTGTTTTACCTGTAAGTGTTTTTGAAACTATTTATTTACAATATATGAAATTGTGTAGCCTGTTTTAGATGTTTCTGAACGTGTATTACTAAGCTTGAAATAAAAAAAATTCCTTTAATCCAAATGCTTTATAATTTACATGGAAAAATTGAATAGAACAAACTTAATGGGAAACATTTTCACAATTTTAGTTTTTTTATTTCATAACTACAATAACACAAAATTTCTACATCTACATAAAATAACATACTTCTGAACATCTGGCAGTGTACATTTAGTAAACATTAGAAAAACCATGTAAAAAAGTGAAAATTTATGGTCCACACAGTCTATCACATAACATGGCTTTCACACACATTTTCATTAAAAATAACTGGAAATTAAGCAGGATTTGGCTGAACTTTATAATAAGCCAATTTCAAGTCAATTTCTTTCATGTAGAAAAATTCACAATGATCTGATGTGCTTTACATTCAAACTATCTGAATTATGAAAATATGAATAATCAATACTGCACAACTTGCTCAGGCCTTATTTTTTTTGAATGATATACTTTGTACCTATTTTTGTTAACATCTGAATCACAGCCTGAAGATCAGTATTAATACAAAGCCACATGGTATTCTACTTCCAAAATATTTAATTTGCAAGAATAACCTTTATTTTATTTGTCAATGCAATTTCTTGATCCCCTGTTTAGAAAGTTTTATGAGAAATGACATTTTACCAGAGGAAACTTTCAGTAACTTGATATTAGATTTACTTTGATGAAAAGTAAATATTAAAAACTGGAAAATGTAGAAATATTGTTTCCAAGAAATGGGTCTTTAAAACGTTATGAGTAATTAGAAAGTGATATATTTCCTTTTCTTAAAAAAGTAGATTAATGAAAATACACTTTACATGTAATGTCAAAAATTGAGATGAACCATATTAATTGCAAATACAACACAGGACACTTTCTCAAAATTCTGGCACAAAACATACTACAAAAGTAAATGGTGCAACAGTGCTAATGATGTACATAAATTGGAGTAGACTAGAATCACCTAAGTGAATAAGAAAGGCTTTAAAAATACTAGATAAATTTACCTAGTTTACTCAATCTGAAGATGGTCAATAACTTTGGTGTGATAGCAACTATTTAAAATCAAACATAAAATATTAAAACATACTTTAACAATAAAATTAAACAACAATTCAAATGATGGAAAAATTCTATGTACATCCTCAGTTATTATTGCAAAGTATCCTACAATTCTTTACAGAATTCAACACCATTTCGCACTGAAGACACAAAACACTTTGGAATACTGAACAGATTTCTTTTCTTTTCTAGTTTTAAAAAAATATTTGTTTCTAACATGACTAGGTAACAGAAATATGTCAACTTTCCTCTGGCCTTTCTGAAGTTATAAATTATTGCATAAATGCGTTTAGCACTGCCTTGAAGAGTACATTTGTTTACATGATCGTTCTTAAAAGCAAGTAAAGAAAATATAAGAGCACAATGACAGAACATTCAACATGTACTAATACCACAACACATGTAATTAAAGGTCCCTTAAAATATCCCTAGAATTCTGCACAGAGGAAATTCTAAGAATTATGCTAAAATTCAGTATGAAAATATTTTACGGCATTCCTGATTAACTACAAATAACTTAGAACATTTTCTTTCTTCAAATTCATAACAAAAAGTTATAATACTGATACAATCAATAAATTCTTGGAACATATGAAAAAATATGGCTAAATGCAGAACAGTTAATACCTTATGATTTTTGATTTTTTCAACTAATTTCTGTCCATTCAAGTAATTATTCAGGAAAAATAAATTTATCAATATATTAAATGACAATTATGTCAAAAATAATAAAATTTTATACAAGTGCAACTATAACACAACAAAATTTCTCTAAACGATAACAACTGCAAATAAAGTAAAATTATCTGGTAGCTAACAAAACAACAAAAAATATTAATTATTAATAAAATATTTTCTTCAATATCTATAAAAAGATGACTACAATTATTTTTGCAGAAATATGTTGAAATATTACAATATAATCTTTAGCTTTATAATCTTGTTAAATGCTGACCATGGACTTTTGTCCCTATTTACCTTCTCATTCAGTACTTATTAATCCTTTCTTATTATCAATATAACTTTTTGAAAGGTACAATTTCTTGCCGATCACTTCCAATTATATCACTTATCGGCAGTAATGCTCATTGTTTCATGGTATCATATTCAATACCATTGTGGATAACATGTTTAAAATGCCATTTGATGCAGAAAAGTCTTCAAAGAGAATTTTCTTAAAAGAAAAATGAAACAACAGACATTTCAGAATACTCTTAGTTTGGAAGTATCACTACACAGACTAAAACCTGAGGAAAGAATAACTGGAAGTGAAGTAAAACAAGTAATCTATTCATTATTATAAATGACATTAACTCCATTCACACAGAATATCCAAATTAACACTTTAAATTAAATCAGATTTGAATGATCATGAGAATGATCTCACAAAAATCATGCACTCGTTTTGGAGGTTATTCGAGATATAGTCAAATATTTTAGAAGAATGTAGGTATGTGAAGAACCTCACAATTAATGCACATCATCCTAAAACACATGGCAGCTCTAAACAAATTGTGTGTAGTTAATACACACTGAAGAGATATTGAGACATATATACAGTACAAACAAAAATAAATTTTCAAAATACAGTGATAAATATTTCCATATCCTTTGAATTTCACTTTATACACTCAATTAAACACCCTGAGCACCCTAAGATAGAATGCAGAAAATGTAAAAATACATTTTTTCTTCAATTTGAATGTATGTTGATGACTAAAAAAACTTTTGATTGATTTTGAGAAACATCATGTTTTTTTCCTCATTGCAAGAATGACAGATTTACAAAAGGAGACTTTTCAATTTTCATACAACTTTGTATAAATAATTAAAATTATTTAATTAAATTTCCACACATAAATACTGTACACAAAATTTACATGCCTCAATGTTTTGTATGTTGCAATCTGAGCCAGTGTGAATCCTCTATTGAAACAAAAAAATGCTGTTTCAAAGATTGCACAATCAGTACAAGGAAATCAAGTACTTCTCAATCTCCTATAATTATGGAAAATGAATTTTTATTGTTCATTAGTTTTTTGCAATATTTTCTTGTCATTTTTTATGGGGTCTGAGAGGGGGGAGGGGAGGGGGGAACTTATTGAATGATCTTTGTACGTTATAGGAAATATACTTTTCCATGTCACCTGAATGTGATGAAATTTGCTGTACAACACTAAAAAAACATTTTTCATTGCATGTATTCACTCATTCATACTCTGATAAAACCAGCCTACCATGCAGAAATCCTTGTAAATCAAACATCACTCTTAAAGGAGCTGTTTCATGTGAAAAGTTTTGTCAGCACCTAAATTTCGCTTTTCCTCTGTGGCATGTAACAGGTTTGGAGAATCTGAATCACACACCTCACTTAAAATATCAAATTGACAAACCAAATGATCAGTAAATATTCTAGGAATCAATTAAATGTTCCCAGAAAGTTTTAAAAATTCTTTTGTATTAAGTCAAGTACAAATCATCTCATCCTCACTGAAGCAAGTTAATTATTTCAACTCTGTAATGAAATTGGAAGTTCCTATGAGTCCAATTTAGCTAGCTCAGTTGTGTAAATACCAATACTCTCATGATCAAAGAGAACAAAATAAATCTGTTTTAAGGATGATGACATTACATTCACAAAGTAATTGCTGATAGCCTTAAGGATTGTTTGGGCAGCCTGTTGTTTAGGAAATCCAGCCCTAAAAGACAAGAAAATTTATTAATTCCAAAACAAATTAAATAGTAAAATTTACAGAAATATCCCTTCATTAATTTTTCACTTTTCAAAGAATTATGAACACCATTTTATATAATCAACTGTGTACTTCATGTTCTGTGTTCATGTACTTACTACTGGCCTTGCACAAAAATGTAATACTAACTATACTAAGGGTCACCCATACAATTTTGTTCAACAACTTCATTAGATTTTTGTTGTAAATTTAATTTCAAAGTGCTTTTGTAATGTAATCCAATTGTTTTTGAAAAATGTAAATGTTATTAACAATAATTCCTGATCTGAAAAAGATGAGAAGAGCACATTAAAAACACCCTTGGCTGGATAATGGTTGTTCAAGACCCAGTATTCATGGAGTCCAGCCGTGAAACTAAAAAAATCACTCTCCATCAAATTGAAGTTCAATGTGAGCAAGAATGCGCCTAACTGTTAATGTAATTTCATCAGGCAGTATGTTGTGTATTTACATTGACAAAAATTTTTGACTTTTGGGAGATAAAAATTCTACAGATAATTTTGGTGTAGACTAATTTTTTGGTTTTAAGGCCTCACAAAATGTGGATTTTGAGTAGTACACAATGTATTAGAGGAAGAAATTCCTTATATTTTGGAATAACATTTATCCTCTTTTGCGGTATCATGGCATCACAACACAAGTTTTTCTGTCCAAAATTTCCTTTTTTTTCGCAGCTTAACAATACTTTCTCGACATTAGCATTTATGAGAAATTTTAAAAATTGTACAATTGCATTTGGAATTTTCAAAAACCGTTTACATTATAATTTACATTATTTCATATCTAATTTTAAAGAACGGCTTTCGTTAAGGGAAAGAATCTATCATCTATATTGCAGTTTTCCGATGGTTAACTTGTTGATTGTAATTTTTGAAAGTAGAGAGAGTTATCCAAGGTGGGCTATGCACCACTTTTTAAGCATCATACGTCCGATCCAAGGGTAAAAATTGGATCCATTTTGGACAAAAATATTTTTATAAATTGCCTTTTCAGCAAGCAAAAATCATATGAAAACAATTTGTTTATATCAAAAAATTGTACATGATTGACTTTAACCATCTCTTATTACAACATATTTTATTAAAGAAAATTTTCAATCATAAATATTGAACTTTTGCATTTTTTTTTTTAAATAAAGAGAGTTTGCAGGCAATTGGAATGTTTAAGTGTCTAATGCCACATCTGTAAATTTTATGTAAAGAAAAAATTTAGAGCCATCTTTTTTGAGATAATAGATGTTTAAAAATTGCCTTAATTTCACACAAAAAGGTCATATTTCATGCGAAAAACTACTCAAATCTTTGAAAAATTGTTCATGACCTTATTTGACCTATCTTTAAAGAAAAAAAATAGTATGCATTTTCAATATTGTTGATGTAGTAAGATGCCAAAAAAAATTGACAATTTTCAAAAATACAGAATTTAAAAAAAATTAGATTAGTGCCATTTTAAAGCCTCTTTTATGCCTTCACAGATTCAGGTTAATCAAGAAATTTGGAGCCCTATTTGAGTAAATGTTGAAATGTTGAGGCTTCAAGTATACAACCCACAAAAACCAAAATATCTGTTTCAAACTCGCAAGGTCTCAAGTTTGTCCAGATCAATCAGGGAATATCAATTTTGGATAAAATCGTTTGAATGGTTCAGGCGCTTGAGTTGACCAGTCAGATGTTTTTTTGTCATCTAATTTTTTGGTATCAAGGACCAAATCAAAACACGAATTCTGACTACAAAACATATCAGAGGAAGTAATTTACCTCAAAAAGGCACAAAATTTAATACTTTTCTTCCCCAAATTACATGTTTTTGAAAGTCGCTAATTTTGGCCACAGCAATACAATACTCTCTTTACTACCTTAGTACATAGTAAGATGAGATATTAAAAACGTGTAACTACAACAGCATATACTTTCTCACATTATTTATAACAGTATTGTAACATTATAATACTACTTGAACTTACCTTTGCATTTTTATAAAAAAATGAATGGACCACGTGAAAATAACATTCATGTAACATCCTATTCAAAATATGTAAAGAAAATAATTATAAGAATCTTTGAGAAAATCTGGTTTTAAAAATTGGTTTTATTTCACGAAAAAATTAGTGAAAACCACTGATATTTTGAAAAAAAAATTGTATATGACTTTATTTAAACATATAATTTTGAAGAGCAGTTGCCATACAGAAAAAATATCTCTATCTCCAACACTGTAGTTGAATGTAGAAGCTGAGGAAAATGAAACTTTTGCAATTTTCAAAAGCTTAGAGAAATTTACTGGGGCAGTTTTTTTTTTTTTTTTTTTTTTTAAAGCTTTAAAACATGCTCTTTTAATGTAATAGGTTCAAAAGAATTTCTAGAAGATCCTTTTTATAAAGAGAGGCTGAAACTACTCTATTTATGAGCTTTTTGAGAAAATAATCAATTTTAATCTTATTTTATGAACTAATGGTAAGAGAAAATTATTTATTTATGGGTGTAAGAGCTAATATATTTAAAGCAGAGGAAGCTAGAAGCAGTGTTACCAGTGTGTCAGCAATTTCTATTGCACATCATTCAGATGAAAAGATTTAGTATTGATTCACTTTATGTCAACCATATTTGGCTCTTCTGTTTATGATGTAGGTTTTAGTAGATGTTAGTCAATGGACATTTGTGCACTTCTCCATCCTGCATTACCACCTTGTGAAGTTTAGAAGTATCCACCTGATTGTGTCTCATTTTATAGTCAGACTACTATTTGTAGGAATCATCTGGTAATAGTCAAAATTCAGAAAAGAGATGCTAAATTCTGTGATAATCGATTTGCTCAGAATGAATTAATACTGCTTTTAAATTGCAGAAAGCATAGCTAGTCTTAGTGTTCTATGTAAGGCATATGTAGATTTCTCTGCAAGGAAGGATATTCAGACCAATATTTAAGCAAAGGGGATTTCATTAAGAAACAAATAATGTTTTAACTATTGCAATTTTAAAAAATTGAGAGGTTTCAGAAATATTTGGACCTGTGCCATTTGTATATGACAATATCCTCTTCTAGCAAAAGTTTAGAAACTGTTCAACCCATTTTAGAGAAAATTTTGAAAAAAAAGAAGTCATTGATGCTTTACAGGAAGTATCTCAAAAATTAAAATATCCATTTAAAAATTGAGGGACTGCAACACTAGCCAGATTAATTAGGAAATATCACTTCATGTGAAAATATTGGGGACAGTTTAGGTCCTAGTAATGTTCACAGATTGACAGATGATGGATAGATGTACAGACAGATTGGCAAAAACAAATTTTTCATTATCAAGAATGCACAAAATGTGGAATTAGACAACTTCGTATTCGAAAAAGAAATTCACTGCAAATAGAAGCAAAAGTAGTCCACTTTTCATTGCATGATTATTATTAAAAGTAGTCCACTTTTCATTACATGATGCTTTTTTTTTACTTCATAACTAAATATAAGAAAGTAAAAATAAGGAGGAAAAGGCATAAAAGAAAACTCAGATGAAAAGATACATGAAATAAGGAGGGCAAATGTGACTTTCTGTAAAATGCTCAATTAAAAATTATAATGCACTAATTTAATGTAACTGAAGAGGATTAATTACCATACACACAAGTACGGTTTCTAAAAAACATGATTCTTTAAAAAAAATCAATTTTTTAAATTTACATCCATAACGTGTCTAGATAATGTCATAGTGTGTTAAGTCTTGGCTAGTTTTAATTGTTCCTGTGTATTATTCTACATAAGTGGTCTCTTTTTATAACTACAATTCCTGTTTTCGGGTAGTATGCACTTACAGATTTTTTAAAATATGCATTGTATGGCTCTAATTCCTTTTCTTATTTGTTTTTAAAGATAATCAGAAATGGTTGAGTGAAAAAAATGGGTGTTGTTGAATACATTAAATACCTAAACCTAATACTAACATTTATATTTAACAAAGTTGTAATTATTAGCTGCAGTAATTTTTAAATGAAGACAAAATGTGGAATTCCCCTGAGTCCCTCAAAGTAACCACTTGGTGATGGTATCTCCAGTGCTCTATGCTGTCAACATATGACGCTTTCTATAAATCGCTGCAGTCGGGGTTTTTTAAACTCTTGATTACAAGAAGCTAAAAAATAAATACAAAATCCTAATCAAATCCCCAAAGAATGGTGAATTTTTAAATATTCATAACTCTCAGAGATTTCTACCCTTTTTCTATCAGAATATTTTTACATTTTTTCCTCAGCTTGACAGTGTGAAGACAGATTAAGGACATGGCAGAGGAAAGTAGTTTTAATAAAAGTAAATATTAAAATTATGACTTACCTGCCACTGCCAATAGCAGGTATAGCAAGAGATTTAAGGTTCTTCTGATCAGCCAGTGTTAGACAACTCTTCACAGTTTTATCAAGTTTCTCAGTAGCATCTACTTCATTTGCAGCAGGACCATTGACATGGATCACCCACTTTGCAGGAAAATTATGGCCAACACATAGTGCAGCTACAAAAGTCACAGAAAACAAAATTCTTGAAATACTTTGAAACCTGGATATGTGATAAACTTCTACTAGTAAGACTAATTAGTAACTCCCAACATTTATATCCAAAAAGATCTTCAATAGAGTGAACGTAAAATGTGCTCAACTTGAAACAGCTTCCCCATTCATATTTTTATTGGTGTTTGCTACCAATCTTGACATTCTTATATTTTCCCAAAATGTTTGAATCCTTCATTTCTTATTAACAGGTACTAACTGAAGATTCCGTGGAAGATTAGTAAGCAGATTGCTCACAAGAGAAATTTAATTCATTGTATGCACATAGCAAATGTTGCCAGAAAGTGAAAAATTGAAGTAACTTGTTAAAATGATAAAAGCAAGACATGAATTTTCTAAAGAATTTAACATGCCAAGATCCAAACTCATTTCATTTCAATTTTTCACGATTTATATTGAGAAATAAAATGAAATACTAATAATGTTTTTTCGAAATAAAGCCCTCGAAAAAGTATTACATTTTTGCTAATCTTCAACTTAGTAACTAAAACAAATATGATTTGAATACAGATAAGTGAAAATACATGGTCTCTAAAAGCGAGACCAATATTTTTTTACTTCAACCCTTTAGGGTGGGATGCTGTCTACAGAAGACTTTCACTTTTATTTATGGTAGGTCATGCCTGGCTGGGATGGATTTTTCTTTCCACTCACACTAAGCCATCTCGTGACAGAAGAAACTTCTGTTTCCTCTCATTTGCAGTATACTTTTCACAGACACTGGGAGCTATGTGTTTAGTTATCAGTATTTGTAGATAATAGTAACATTTTTTTATAGGATATTTTCTTTTACAAACTGCATAGCATGTTACCAAAGGCTCTACATACACCCAAATGCTATCTGACCTCACCATTACTTCAAAGCCACATTGAAATGCTGAGTACTCATTCATGGCAAAATATGCAACGCTACATTAAGTGAGAATGAAGTTTCTGTGCCTTAAAAACACACTTGGCCAGGTTCCTAAATGCCTTGCCCATTGATAAAAAGAAAAGTGAAAAACACACCTGTTGTAGCTTCCAGGTTGCCATGTGAAGAGCGAAGATCCAGCACTTCCTGAATTTATAATAGAACACGTACAAAAATGAATAAGTATTGTATATTTGCCATTAATAAAAATATTTAATATATCAAGAATCCATATCAAGTCACCTGCATAAACTCTTTCCCTCCACGTTTTTCCAGAGCCTGGCCCACATCTCCCATCATAGCAATACTAGAATTTGTTGGATGGACTAAGGCATCTGCTGTTATGTTTGTAATGTCACCTTGAACCACCATTAACTGGGAAAAATAAACAATTGATTAATAAATGGAATATATATTAAATCTTGGTCATATTTAGTCTAAAAATAAAAGAATAGAGAACAGTTTATTTTAATATAAGTTATAAATTACACTTCTCCCAGCTTTAGAGCAGCGGTACAAATGGGAAATTTCTTGCCTGACCTCTAGATACACGTCTCTTATCTCTTGCCTACTGAGGACGACAAGCTGAGCCACAGTATTTTTCACATATTAGAGCCCTGGCCTAAGCAAATTCATGGGAATTGTTGACACACATGGGTTCCGAGGCACTCTACAAGCACTTGTGGACTGCTGTGACAAGAGGATGAGAATATCTTACATTTGCCTAGAGATGGGGCTTTAGCACAGAAGAAGAAATCCAAAAGCAGAATAAGAGGAGACGGCTTCAGACATTGCTACTGAAACTCCATTGACATTCTTCAGTTTACGAAGTAAGTTAGTAGCTAAGCAAACATCTTTTTCCAAGGAAAAATATTAAATTTTCAAATGATTTGGACAAAATGTTTGAAAATTTGTTGTATCGACGACACCTTTTTTGTTTTTGAAATACTGAAATTGAATAAAGTGGATTTGCCATGAAGTTGATAATAATTATTGACCTTTATAAATAAACTTTTTTTCTGTTTGGCAATTTGTAAAAGAATTTTAGGGTTCAATATGATGCGTGCCAGAAGATATATTTTTACTCTCGCATTTGGGGAGCAGCACATTATTATGGTATTATTATCTAGTATAGTAATAATGTAGAGCACTAAAAACATTAAAAAGAGGGCATTCCTATTTATATATTTCAATTACTGTATTGTATATTATTATTATTTGAAGAGTCCTAATATTTCCATGCTTTAGCATACAAACTGTCACTTTTTTCTCCATGCATATCTCTCATGCTTCTTTTAGCTCATGTATACACATCGCTTCACTGTGGCCTTGCCCTTCTCTGCAGGCACCACTGCCTTCCTTTGCATGATTAGGCCACCTCAGCGCTAATCAATATTTCTTGCAGTTAAAAATATGTTTTATCTGTTTAAAAAAAATTATACTGCCAGGACTGTAGAAGGGAAAAAAACTGTATCTAAAAGGTTGAATTACTCAAGATTATAGAGAGAAAAAAATCTACATAATTATTGGGATTTGAGGATTTTCATAGCATATTAGTAGGGAATTTTCAATTCCCTTCTTATTTATAACAATTTTAATATATGTTATAAAAATACTGAATAAAATGATGATTAAGAATAATAGAATCATTACATATTTGCCAGCTTCTAAAATAATATTTTCATAAATATCTACAAAATTTATCAAATACCCATTAATTTTTTAATGACTAAATTTCTAGTATTTAGTTAGTATTAGTATTTAAAAGGGAAGTAATTCTAGTGTTTGTTTAAGTAGAAGTGCAGATGTATTTTTATAAATAACTTTGACATCTTGTTTAAAGCATAATGTTGACTAAATACCGATAATAATATTGCACTGAAAACATTATTCTAACAAATCATATAACAATAAACATTTTGTAAAGCCACATTATTACTGTTGCTTACCAAATATAATATAATACAGAAAACACAACTGTTCCAATAGCTAGATCAATACAACCCTTGTAGCACATACTTTTAGTTTGGGGCAAAGCAGTACCACCAAGTCAAAATAGCCAGTCTTTATGGAATTATAACATATTACTGTACACTCACAGAAGTATTACCTTTCAAAATTTTCAGTGAATGAACTAGAACCCAAACAAAAATACGCTTTCATTCACTATATGACTCCATAACTGAGCATTTGATACGGTCATTAATTTCCAATTCCCAGACTTATTTAAGATATATTTCAATAAAGGTTAATGAATAGTCATGTAAGATAAAAATTCATCGGATAACATAAGCATTATGCAATAAAATTTAACGGCCGCCAGTAATGCAAATTTATTTTCTCTCTGTTACCGCAAGTTCTTATAATTTTCCTGTCTTACAAGTACCACTACATTCCTTATATAATTGCACCAATTATTTGATTGTAATTTCAAATAAATAAACAATTCTCATTGGATTTCACGCTTTATGCATTTATGTATATATTATAATTATTTTATTTAGAGGTGAGCTTGCTTAACACACATCTCTTCTCTTTCTTTAACCACAATCAATTCCTTAGCCTTTCTCTTCGTCTACTATCTCTCATTACGACTCTGCTTCCCGCTCTTTGCTCTTATTCTGTTTCCTGTTGCCTTCATTCAATAGCATTTTGCTGCTTATCTCTGGCACCGTGAGCATAGCAGAGCATATCTCCATCGACTATGATGGCATTTTTCATCTGCATTTAAGGTCATATTATTAAATGCCTGTTATTATAGTCCTAATGTGCACATGCGTAGATCCTATAATAAGCAACACACGCACAAATTTCACAAATACATTGAAGCAAATTTAATATCATTGACTGTGTGTCTTTCCCTCTCACACGCACAATGTTTAGAGAGCTTGTGATATTACACTTTATACTAAGCATGAATTTTCCAATTTATTAGACAATGTTTTAGAGAGTACCGTACAATTTGTTAGTTTACGAGTTAAAATGACATAATTAAATTAAAATAGTTATTTAAAAATGATTCTTAAAACTAATAAAATTTCATATAAATAATTATAATTATATGTCAATTAGAAATAATCGTTAGCTCGAATTCTACATCGACAATCAATTTTTTGAATGCCAAAACTTTTTCCCGCTTTCCTTTATTTTTTCACCCTGTTTATGCAGGTGGTCACCCTGTTTATGCAGGAAGGTATTTGCAAGTAACAAAATTCACAAATTCAAACAATGAATAATTTCAATTTGAACAACAATCCTCCATTCTGTAGAAATATTCCATAGGTACCCACCTTTTGCCCTAAAAATAGTTTTTTCTCAGACAAAATGGTCACTCCAGTGCCTGCTGTAGATGTACTTGTAGGTGAATCCTTCGTTTTGCCTTTAGCTTTTCCACCTTTTGCTGTAAATGTATTATATTATTAAAACACTCATTATTTTAGAAACATTACTTTTTAGTGATAATTTTATTTACGTTTACTTAATTACCTCAACAATACATATGATTTACTTACAGTAATCAGTGAAAGCATACCTGGAGGTGGGCTGGTAGGTTTCTTTATTCTGAGTCCACTAGATGCAGGATCAGTGGAGGGTGAAGGTTTTTTGTGAGGAGAAATAGGTTTAGTCGCAATAGGCTTTTTGTATGGAACATTAAGAGGAACATTATTTCCTACAACAAATTTTCCACCTTTCTTCTTTGCTAAAAGTTCCGGATGGATCTTTGGTAGGACACCACCTGATGCAATAGTCACATTCTTCAAAAGCTGTAAAAGATACATTCCATAAGAGTCGTGTTGCAATCTGAAATCATTAATTGTTAGACAATTGCACATTCATTCAGTACCAGATGCAATTCTTCATCATTAGCTACAGCCAAGAGAATATGTCGAGGTGTAATTCGACCTTTTCTGTTGTCCCGAGCTGCATTGCCTGCCAGCTCAAGAACTTCCGCTAAAATAAAGCATAAATACATCTCTGTACCAGAACCACCACCTTAGTAAGTTAATGTTAGTTAACCACTATCTACAAATTAACGAACTCAGAAAAAATATTTAGCAAGATTTTCATTCCACACAAAATCTAGAAAAACAAAAACTCAACAATCTGTTTCACACTTTTTTAATTCCATTATAAACAAATACTTATGCATTTATTTGTTATTACTTTTTATTGTATTTTCAGTACGCATTTTGTATGATGAGCGAGACATTAAAGGAACATCTAGTATTTTATCTTCCACGTAAAGGCAAGGAAACAACAAAGCAGATAATAAGCTTACAGAAAATAAAAATAATTTTTAGTTCTGACTTACCCGTAAGATACTCAATTACTGCTGCCATATACACAGGTGATCCGACGCCAATTCGCAGACGATGTGTCCCTATCTTTAAGTACCGGTGCATCCTACCCACCGGGAACGTGACATTCGCTCTTTGCGATTTGGACATCGCTTTCTGACGTTTCTTTCCTCCCCTTGCTGACATCTCGTAAATTATTTATTACTTTTCTGGAAAGTAAAATACTACACTTTCTTCAACTGTAAACAAAAACAAGTGAAATGTGTAAACAGTGCACTCGCAAACACTGATGACATTACCCTCAACTCGACCGGTTCCACTTCCACCCGTTCCACCATACACGGAATCTCCAACTCTTTCCAACTCCTACCCTTGCCACTACGTGCCACCACCGACCTGAATACGTACACCATCTACATCCAGCGCAGTGAAACTTAGAAACACTGGCGTTCTATTTGTTCACCACTGCACATATAGATGGTAGCAAAGGTTCAAATTAAAATTTCTTTGATTTTCTTCTTTCGGAAGACAAAATCAAGTGAAAATGCGGAGATTGCATATTTTCGAAAATAGACAAGTGAGACATCCACACACTACATTAGAAATGTGTCATTCGATGACTCGAAATGCTTCTCTGTGCCACAAGCCGAGAGAGGTGACTACAAGTAGCTGTGAGATCAGCTGCTAGTCCCATTTCCTGTTTTAGTAAATGCTCTTGAGACATTCTTACCCGTGAAATCCCTGTTTTATTACCATAATCGTAAATCATCTATTTGAGTTCGAATTGCCTAAAGATAAATGCATTACTGCTCTGCATAGAAATCATTATTTATAGTAAAAAAAAAAATAAAATAAAATATATAAAAAAAAGGAACTGTGTGTGACGTATAGGGAAGAAGAACAATCTATGTCTATGCAAATTTTCTTGAGCACCGATATTTCTACCATGTCTGTTTTACTATATTTGCGGATTGAATTATGAATAAATGGTGAAAGATGAAATAATTCACAATCAATAAATGTATAAATAAAAGTGAATTAAGAAAAAACAGCATATTAATTTATTTCCTGCTTCAAATATTAATTTTTATATTGCTCACTAGTCACATTTTTTATTGCTCACACTGATTTATTACAAGAAATAATATTTTACACACATGTTATCCCTAGATAATTTCCGTTTAAAGAAAAGTTCCTATTGTCCCGGCTAGCTATTATGAATTACCATATAACCTCCTTTTGCCATCTATCGTCGCCCAAAATGCTTTTTTCTTTTTACATTTTCTTAATTCTTCTGTTTCCTAATTGTAGAACGGAAATATTATTTTAGGATTATCAAAGTATAGTATAACCTCGTCCTAAATAGCAATTTTATTTAAAAATGTGGAGCCGTTTTTATAAAACTGGGATTTAAACGCTACTGTAAATTCGAAACTGGAAGCCCTTTTTCACAGAAAACTTTTGAGTTTTCGAAAAACTTCATTTGAAGTTATTTTAAGTAATTTAATTCACAAATACAATAGTGTTTACAAATAGTAGGAAATATGAAAACCAACGGGGTGAGAGATCTTTCAAAAAATTTACAATTGTGTAATTAAAAAAAATACACCGAAATTAATCATTACATCATATTAAAGAGTGCAACCAACACTATACGTTCGAAATGATTGAAGAAAAAATTGGAGCGGGTTTTTACAAAATGGCATTTGAGAGTTTCTGAAAATGCGGAATTTTGAGCCAGTCTTCACAGAAAACGGTTGAGTTTTCGAGAAACTTTATATGACAATATTTAAAGCACATGTACTCGTAAATACAATAATATGAACAAATTGCCGCTAGTACAAATATATATATATATATATATATATATATATATATATATATATAACACGGAATACAAGTAAAAAAAAGTTTTTGTAATTTTTGAAAAAACAAAGAATAGAGCATTAAATTTATACGAAAATTCAGAGTTAACAGCGAAAATCTAATCTATGCCACTTTTATAAGTGTATTTTACTCTATTCTGACAAAAAAAATTAAAGAAAAAATTTGGAGCAAGTTTTGGGAAAATTTTGAAAATGTCGGGAGGGCTTCTTGTAAAGTACCCCAAATTTTGAAGAATGTTTTTCAAAATCAAAATGTTTCGAGTCAATCTAGATGGAATCTTCATTTTGGAAAAAATGTTACGTATGGTTTAGGCGTTAGTAGTGTACCAGAGGCACCTTACCAAACCTTTTGCAGTGGTGACGATTAAGTATCATCACTATATTTATATATATAGTGATGATACTTAATCGTCACTATATATATATATACAATTTTACATAATACGTTCTTATATTTACATACACATTTATATAGATGCATGTGAGCCGTACCGTTTACTACCGGAGCATTCACTCCCCGTTAGCATCTGCTAACTACCGAACACACTGTTCGACACGAGCTGGGCGCAAGTTTACGTCTTGGTGCATTGGCACACTGGCGTCCTCGCGACGGTCTGTCGACAAAAGTTTGTGGGAAAATGGTCCCTCTTTCCATGGCCCATCCGCATTTATAGACCCGCTGTGACCACGTCGCCACCCCCGGTTGCAACTGGGTGGTCTTGCGACACATCTGGTGTCAGTATGACACCATCTCCTTTGACCTGCATCCTTGGGCTCGGGCCTCGCCCGCTTGCTGCCCATTGGGATACGTTCCACTGTCACAGTTCGGCCTTCTGCGTCAATTGGAACTCTTTTGGTCTTTGCGTGCATGCTGCTCTCTTTCTCACACTTCTTTACTTATCTTCTCACCCGTCACTCGGCTCGCTTGGCTGTGAGAAGACGGGTCGTGTGGGCGAAAGAAAGAGAATTACTCTCCTCTACGCTGGTTTATTAACTCTAGGTCGTTACATATATAGATCTAATTTATTACGTTGATTACATTTTACTTTGACTCCAATCAAATCAGAGCAGGTTGATTTCTGAGAATTGCAAGGGGAGGAACTAGTCTTGCTCGCCCTGGCACCAACTTACCACACCGACAGCCTTCATGGTTTCCCCGCGCCTGGCGTCACGTCTGGTCTCTCTGCGCGCTCTCGTCCAAGCGCGGCCACCGCGTCGCCTTCTCCTCTCACCTTCCCTTCCTCAGCCCTTCACCCTTCCACTCGCATTTTCCTGCGTAGGCAGCTCCACGCCTCCTGGCACCTTAGCGACCAAGCTGGGTGCGGGCTCGAGGCGCGCGCTGAGCAAGTGCTGAGCATGTCTTGGAACTTTTCCACCGCCCGGCGTCGCCGTATCTCACATGCTTTTCAAAATGGAAGTAAGTTTGCTCATCATACATTTATAATTTAATTCTACATCGACCCCATGTCCGCGACACTACATGTGTTCACTCTGAAAGTGACCGCGCTCCCCGCTGTGCACTCCATTGCCGCGCGCAGAGTTGCGGTAGCTACAGCTTGCTGTATCAATTAACGCATTCAACTTCAATCCATTTATTTTGATCTACACTATTGATTTTTGAAGACCGTTTGGCTACGCAGAGGTGAAAGATGCTAAAAAATGCCCGTGGACGCGATTGTATTTGATGAAGGATAGCAGGACGCTTTCGACCTATACACATGATAGTTTCCTTTCTTACCGCACGCCCTACGTTCAGTAGCTCTCTCAGCGCCCGACGTTCTGGGATATCGGCTTCTTTCGCAAAAATAACACTTCTCAGTTGTTGAAAAACTGCCACAGTAGCAACATGTGTCTTTAAATCTGGGTTGTCAGCGTCATTAATAGTAGAGGCAATAATATTGGAATCAGAATAAGCTGCTAAATGTTGTTCAGCCATTTCTAGAGCTCGAGCTTGATCGAAAGCAGCGTCCAGGGTTAGTGTTGTGTTCTCAAGTAATGTTTGTCGAATCCGCGAACGAATCAAACCACCGATGAATGCATCTCTAATGTATTCATTCTTGTTTTGTTCGGCAGTTACGTTTTTTAAGTTGCAAATTCCTTAATTTGTTTCAAGACTTGGAGATATTGATCTTCTGACTCTCCACCATTTCGTCTGGTAGCCAGGTAGTACCTATTATAAATTTAATTTTTATGTTTTATGCGTTGAGATCACACAGTGTCCATTGCGTCTTGGAATATATTAGATTAACAATACTTAGATTTTTATCGTGGCGCCTCGAGGCAGACTTCAACATGGAGCTGCAAGGTCACTACTGCTCCCACTTTTACGGCTCCTTGTTGCAGTCTGCCTTCCCTCTCCCTTTTTCGTGCGTGACCTCGAGGTGCTACGATAAAAAAAATTAAGTATAATTATCTGATACACATTAAGAGCTACATAGTTTGTTAAAAACTGCAACTTACTTTCATCTAACGAACCTTGGATGTGGCTTAGAAAAATTGAGAATTATTGTTTCTAGTGTAACCGTTTATTATCAGCAGGGATTGAGGTTTGTTCCACATCGAATCTTTTCGGCTTCAGGAAATTATCCATAATGTGTACGCTCTTTTAATATGTGGTTGTTAAATTGTTGTGAAAATTATTATCTTTTATTGAAGGTTTTAACAAACAAAATCTAGTTTGCGTTACCTAATTAGTATCCAAAGCCTTGCAACATATTGCAAGTCACCGACTGAATACGCCATCAAAACTAGCAAACAAAATTCACAGTAACTAGGACTACCAACACATAAGTTCAAATATTATATATATTCATATAGCACCGCAGCTTCAAGAACGAACGTGTTCCCCCGTCCCCGGGAGAGAGACGACCCTGTGTGTTCGCCCCCCCCCCCCGATGGCGGGCACAGCTCACTTCTCAGCCGGCCCGCGGAGAGTGTCTCCCGCGGCCTATTGCCATCCCTTGGGCTGTGGACCTACTTTCTGGCCGGTAAGATCTACTTTCTGCGGAAACCAATTCCAATTTACATCCGTTCCATCGTAACTACTACTTGTAAAGAGTTTCTGTTGTTAACTACAGCGCAAGCTAAGTTTTCAAGAAGTGTGAAGAGGTGTTTATGTTGTGTCGTGCGAGAAAGTGTCAGTGTCTGCGTGTAGATGACGACCAATGTACCATTCGATTAGCATCCGCCGCGGGCCCCGTTTCGGGTATTAGGAGGATGTAGATCGAGGATTCTTCCTCCCGACAGATGCATCGCGAGGTATCCGCCGCCAGGCGCAGCTTAGTGAACCTCGCTCTGAACGGTCCGTACTCTGACATCATCTGCGCGAGTTGTGGCCCAGGACGAAGAGGAGAGTGTGCGCGAAAGGACTTTACATTAGGGAGACAACGCTGCCTATGACGAAGAGTCACAGTGCGCCTGCCACCTACGGAGCAGCTCGGCTTTCAGTCCATCACGGCCCTCGTCTATTTGGAACAACT